CCCTTGGGAAGATGGGATGGGAAGCTTCGGGCATGTTTCCACATGTTAGTTCAAGTCCCCTTGTATTCTTGTAGGGTGCCACGGTGGTCCAGTGGTTCCTCATTAGGCCAGGAGTCTCTCGACCCCTGTAAAGAGGGACGGTCTCGGAAAGTCACTGGGGTGGCTCTACCCCATCCTCCAGGGTCGCTACAGGTCACAATGAGTTTGGTTTGGGTTTTGTGCTCTTGGGATCCTTGGGTAGTATAGACAGTGGATGCACTCAAACCACTCCTAGAAGGCTGGAAGTCTAAGTCTACAAAGAGGTAACTGGGAGGAAAGGCCCGGCTGTCCACAGCACTGAAAGCCCTGTGGACCAAACCTGTCCCTGGGCACACGTGGGGTCACCAGGAGTCGGAGACAGCTGGGCATCAACCGTTTCCGGAAGTGGCCTCAGGTCCTTGGGCTTGGCGCAGGCCACACCTGTAAGCTGCGTGCAGAGTGGCATTTTACTTTCCAACGGTTGATTTCTACTGCAGGGAAAAGGCTTTTCTATGGGGCCACGACTAACCTGTGGGGGGTTGTGGGGGGGGTTGATGCTGTGGGGTTGGTCCCTTTCCACAGGGACCCTTTAGGCACAACACCTGCACATCCTCACAGTTGTTCCTGTGCCTGAGCCCGGGATGCAGCCGCTGTGTCCGCCCATCTTGTTGAGGGTCTTCCTCCCTTACATTGCCCCTCCCTCCACTTTACCAGACATGGTGGCCTTCTCCAGGGACTGGTGTCTGCTGAGAGCCTGGGGGCAGCTACCTGCATTATCGGGGAGAGAAAACAGTGTGTGTGTGTGTGTGTGTGTGTGTGTGTGTGTGTGTGTGCTTTTGAATGAGAGTGTGTGGTATATGATTTAATGAGGGGGGGTGTGTGTTTTAATGAGAATGTGTGAGTTTTGTTTTAATGAGGGTATATGTGTAAATGAGGATGTATATGTGTATATGTGTTTCGGTGTGTGTGTGTGTGTGTAATTGAGGGTGTGTATGTGTGTCTGTTTCAGTGAGGCTATATGTGTATTTTTTAATGTGTGTGTATGTTGTGTTTTAATGAGGGTGGGTGTGTTAATGAGAGGGTGTGTGCGTGTGCATGTTTTAACGAGGGTGCATGTGTGTCTGTCTCAATGAGGGTGTGTGTGCGCATGCATGTGTGTTTGTGTGTGTACATGTGTGTGCACATGCATGCTGGCACATATGTGGTGGTAGAGGCTGCAGGAACCAGAAGTATGGAGGCAGCCTCCACACTGAGGAAGGGGTCAAAGTCAAGTGTCCCACCCGTTTCACACAAGCCTCTACAGGGGCCCTTCCCGAGAAGGGTGGTGAGAACACAAGAAGTGCCCGGTGGATCACAAAGACAGGTCTCTTCCTGAGGTGTGGAGGGGTGTTTGTTTTTACAAGGGGGTCGGTGTGCAGAGGATGTTAGGGAGTTGTGTGTTGTTTGGGGAGCTGCCAAGCCCGTCCCGACTCGGAAGGACCCTGTCAGAGCAGAGAGAAGCCGAGTGCCTGGGCATTCTCCCGCACAGCTGTCGTGGTTGTTTCCACCCACCTGTGTTAGCAGGCCCACGCCTCACTGGCACACCCCAGGGCTCTGAAGACCGTCTTACCCGAGAGAAACCACAGCTTGAGCATGCCCTGTGCCTCTCACCTCTCCACTCTCAGAGTCCCCGGGCCATGTGAGTGTCACACGTCCCGTGGAAACACGCCTAGCACGGTCGTCCACGGGGACATCTCTGCGCGGGCTCACAGAGGCCTCGTCCAGGACACAATGGCTTGGCTGGCCCGTACAAGGGGAAGAGCCAGGCTTCCGGAGCCCTGGCACGCTGCAGGCCTGCCTGTCCCTGTGGAGCCCGGGGAGGGAAGCAAGCACTGGCCGCGTCAATTGAAATAGCCGCTATGCACAAATCTTATTATGCAATGGCTGATGGAGTCCACCCCTAGGGACCTGGGGCACAGCCTTGTCCGTGTTCTTTCCCTCTTTTCTGGCTTCGCACGTTAGGGGCCGTGAGGAAAGCACTGGGCTTTCCTGCCCCGGAGGGCCTGAGAGCATTCCACAGAGCCGCAGCCATCTCGTTCTGTAGTGCATTTGCAGAGAATCCCCAGCTAGTGCTCGGGGGGCGCCCAGGGAGCAAGTCAGCCTTGGGCTTGAGTTATGTCCAGGCTGCTCAGTCTCTGAGGGCAGCACGGGCAGCACCACTCACCAAGGGCACCTTCTCTGGGCAGAAAGCACCTCCAGGTCTGTTGGAAGAGCAGGCTGTGCCTCCAGCCTCCAGCATGTCTTCACGCAGCTCCCTCCACTGACCCCTCTCCTCCTCCCTTTCCTTCTGGACCACACGGCGATACATGGGATCTCAAAGTGGCCTTTGACGGATCACAACCTTGGATCGGTGTCAGAACTTGGGGCTGGTGACACAAGGAAGCATCATGCAGAGCCGGATCTCTTAAAATGCAAATAAAACGCTGGTGAACATGTGTGTCCCTGTGTTTAAGATCTGCTGTTTTCTCACAGCACACTGAAGAAAGACCTCCCATCAGGTGGAGAGGGGGGGAAGCTGTGACTTTCCCCCCATGCCCCCCCCCAAAGAGCCTGGAGCACTGGGTCCCAGAGCCCCCAAAGTGAACAGCACAGAGCCATCCCCACGATACCCTTGCTGCAAAAAGCATGTGACTGAGGAAACTTCTGAGCCCCCTCGCCCTACACCTTGCTGCCATTGAGAATATTTTATGTGACTCTTCTTTGTAGTGTTTGCTCCCTTCTGGCACCCAGGGTGCCAGCGCGGCCCGGACAGGTGCTCAGCTTGAGTGTATTCACTGTCTCTGTTGTGTCCTAAGGAGGGGAGGCGCTGCAGCAGCCCGGACGTCAGTGCTGATGGACAGCTCCCGGCCAGGCTCCCCGCCCTCGTGGTATTTTGGAAGGGCCCAATCTTTGCCTTTCGCCCTTGTTGATCTACCTCGATCTTCTCAAGTGATCTGGTGCTATCGGGGAAATGAGGACTTCTGGATTTTTTAGCAGCCTTTCCTGTCCCTAAACCCATCTGCCTGAGACGGGTTTATCGCTTCCGCTGGTGCAAGACTTACATATGTCTGGCTTCTCACTTCCTTGTTGCCATAGAAGCTCTGATAGGGCATGAGTGTTTAGGGATCATGGGGATGATGTGCATCTCAATGGGGGTGTCCTTCTCACTGCAAACCCAGCCTTTGCTTTGAGAGTGTGTGTGTGTGTGTGTGTGTGTGTGTTAATGTTTCTTCCTTTCTGCTGCTCTGCTGTAACTGTTCTTGACCATGGCTTCCCCCTCCCTCTCTAATAAACGCCTTGGCCTGTTCTCTGGGATGCTTCGCTCAGACCATCTGCTGCTTCTCTTTCGAGACCTGAGTGCAAATGAGAGGGCTATGATTGGCTGGTCGCCTTCTCCTCATAGCCGGCTCCACTTTTGTATTTTGCTTATTGCTGTTTCTAAGGTTGTATGAGTTTCCAAACCATAGCATTTGATTGTTTGAGAAAGATTCATAAGGGCTATTTTTTTCTGTTTTTTAGAGGATTTTTGGGGGAGGGGGAGTTGGCCTCATTTTGGTTTTGTTACCCCCCCCTCCCTTTTCATGCTTTACCTGAAGCTCCCTTGGTTGAGTTTGTTCCAGGCCGCTGATGGTGGCAGCCAGGCCGGGCACCATGGGAGTCGCCTCCCGACGCCCCATGCACCTATGCACGCACATGCACACAGAACAACAGGCCATCCCATCCTGTCATCGGCACCACCCCCTTTTTGCACACTGGCTCCATCCTGCCCGCCTTCAGCTTGTGTGTTCCCGACACGTTTTGTTCCGTCTGGCTCCTGGCTCTCTGTGAAGACACAGCCGGCCAGCTGTGTGCGGATCTGTAGGCCCAGCCACCAGTCTGTTCTGTTTCCCTTGAGTGCTGGAAGATTCTGGTGCACCCGCCCTTTGAATCTTCAGAGTGCTCATGCCCTATGGTCCTCTAGGCCACTTCTCCCAAGAGGTCTCTGGGGGCTGAGCTGCCGCAAGGCTGCGGGTGCGGGGTGGGGGTAGGGTGCAGATGGGCAGGGTGGGGAGTGGGACCGCGCATGTGCTGCCTTGTGCATGCTATGGAAAACAGCGCCTTTTTATGTTTTGTGCTTGTGTTATGAGGGAGGAGAACCATGCAATCATGCTGTCTCCCCAGCCTCTCTCACTGTCCCCTGGCCAGAGCTCGCTGTCCCTCGCATGCTGCTAACCCTGCCGCGACCATCTCGCTCCTGACCTACATCCTCAGCAGTCGCAACAACTAGGCCACAGAGCTTTAAGGCACGCGGAGTGGGGCCAGCCCCGGTATCCTTGAGATGCCCAAGGCAGGGGTGGCCGTGGGGGTGGACACCGTGCCCCAGAGCCGGCCCCATCTGGGGATGCGGTCACGTCGCATGGTTATTGAGCCTGCTGAAGTCCCTCTCCCACCCTGACAATCACAGATAGGCAGCAGTGAAGCCAGCTTCCCTAGCAGGCCCCTCAGGGAGTTTCCCCCACCTCACACTTCTCCCCTGCCCCCTGGGCAGAACATGGACACCTGTTTGCCGGTGACCAGAAGGCATCAGAAGAAGGCAGATTATGGCCTCTGAGGAAGGGAACCCCAACTTACCCACGAGAGTTCATTAGCACTCCCCACCTCCTGAGCTGGCTCCACTACTGACCCAAGGGTGCTGCCGGCGGGGGTGGGGGTGGTGGGGGTCTGGGGGGGGTGTGTGGGACTGGACAGAAGCTGGAGCTCAGACCTCTGTGGCCAGTGTGCAGAAGTGTGGTTCCTTTCATGGGACCACCTTTTGTCCGGAGCGTGTGAGCCCCACCTTCCTGGTCCAGATCCAGTCAACAACGCAGTGCCTCCCCTGCTTGTGTCTGTCGAGGGCCTGGCAGGATCCTCCCCCTTCCTCTTGGGTTTACTTGGATGCAAGGAATGTGTTTTGTCCCCCCTCCCTCCACCCCCTCCCGATGTAGCACATCACCCTGGGAAGTGCATGTCGCAGACCAACTCCACCTTCACCTTCACCACCTGCCGCATCCTGCATCCTTCAGACGAGCTCACTCGGGTCACGCCAAGGTAAGGGCCGGGCCCCAGGCTGGGCAGAGGTAGGGCGAGGTCGGGGGGCATTCCCTGTAAGCTGACAGACTGCCCAGGCTAGCCAGAGTTGAGCAGTTTGCCCGGAAAGCCACGCTGGCTAGCTGAGAAAGCTCGTAGGCTTTTGCGGTTACCTATTCTGGACCTTCTTTCCCTTTGAAGGGAGGGGGGACCCCCCCCACCATTCTCCCTCCCCGCCCCGCCCCCCCCTCAAGCCCCTTTAGTTCTTGTAATTAGCCATGGTCTATGTTCCTAGGGCCACCAACAGATGGACGCAGACATGGCCCCAGGCCTCAGAGCCAAGACTGTTGGATTTCTGCCCCTTTTTGCCAATAGAACACGGAGTTCTTTCATGGGGGTAGAATTAGTGCATCCCACGAAAGCCCCAGTGCTTCTGGGATGGCCTCCAGGAACTGTACACCACAGCCCAGTGACAGTGGCCAAAATGATCCCAGGCCAAGCCCAAGTCATGCCGCAAGTGTGGCTTGCTTCTCTAGTACAGCCAAGAATCAGAGGCAGACTGCACCACCTGGGGAGCAGGCTCGCTGCCAGGGAGGGGCCTGCCCGGCTTGCTCTTCGGATGTCCACAACTTCCAGCTAGAGGCCCTGGGTGGCGCTAATGGTTCACCCTCTCAGCTGGCAACCAGAAGGCTAGGTGCCTTGGAAGAAAGACCTGGCCACCCCCCACCCCCCCATAAACCAAAAACATTGGCAGCCCCATGGGGCACAGTTCTACTCTGACACACATGGGGTGTTCTCCAGGAAGCGGCGTCAGCTCCTGGACAGCTCCCAGCAAAAGGGGGAAAAAGCGGTCTTCCCTTGCCCAGCTGCTGTGGCCTGGCCTGTGGTCTTCTCTGTGGCGCTGGTGCCCAGGGGAGGGAGACGACAGGGCCAGCTGTCAGGGAGCAGCCTCCCCACGAGCACCTTAAACTCTGAATGATTCTCCGCAGGTCTTGTGAGGACGAAGAAGCAGCCCTCTGCCCCGTTGTGCCGAGAGAGGAGATGTAGGGCAGAGAGCCAGCCCCCAGGCGGGGCAGGTGGTGAGCACATGGCCGGCAGGGTCCCCTGGAAGGGGCTGTGTGTGCACGAGTGGCCGCCACTAACCTGCGAATTGGGCATGGATGTGTCCCTGTGGTTGTGCCTGGCTAACGTGACCACCTAACCCTTCTAAACACCCAGGCCAGAGAGTGCCAGCACTAATCCAAGGCTGACCACAGTTCTCGTGGGGTGGGGCCTCTGAAGTCCAGCCTTGTTGCTCCGGCCCCATTCTTGCCTCCGAGAACCTGGCTTCCTGTGGCTTTACATTTGGGAGAGGCTGCTGTTCTAAAAGTGGGGAGACCGCTTCCCCAGAGGGTCCCCCTTGACTTGTACCACACCCTCAAAAGTGCGCACACAGGCCTGCATCTCTGAGTCTCGCAGCTGTGCCGGGGACCCTGGAAGCCTGAGGAGTCAGGTCAGGGTCAAGAAGGCTGCTTAGCCGAAGCTAGAGAGGGAAGCAGTTGGAAACAAAATGAAATATCTTAAAGGCCCCGGCCTTGGCCTTTAAACACATTTAGTCCTTTTTTTCCCTCTCCCTTTTATTTTACGTCCAGAACCATGGTGCCCACAGTTTCAGGAGTCCCTCTTAAAAATCCACGTTATAAACTGAGGTTATAACCGCCAAACCATGTTTCTCTGAGTGCTCCTGCCTCAGTGGATCCCCGTCCTAGGCCACTGTGACCCTGGTAGCCTGTGGTATGCAGCCCACCCCACAGTGGCCATCAGCTATGAGGTCCCCAGAAGGTGAAACCAAATGGTGCGGCCAGCTTGCCCTTGCTTTTAAATTGCCCCTCATGAGGTAGAGGCCCCCTGCACTGGAGGTCATTGCAAGGACCCACTCCTGGTGCCCCCCCCCCTTGGTGCTTGGCCTAATATGTCTGTCTAGCCCTCCCCCTGGGTCTCCCTCCCTGGGCTCCTGGGATCGTTCAGCTGGCCTGGCCCAGGACTGGATAAGCTGCTCGTTCTTGCAGCACTGTGGGGCCCCAGGCTTGTGGGGCCTCCCCTCCTCTTCTGGCAGCTGTTTCAAAAAGAACCTCCCCTGGAATTAAAGCAGACAGCAGTGTTTTTTGCCCTTCCTGCCACCCCTCTGCTGTGCTTTCCCAGATTCTGGGGTACAGTAGGCCCATGGTTACTCTGGTAAACCAACTGGCTTCTCTTCATCCACGTAGCCCTGCAGGTTTCTTGTGTCCACTGGGCTCTTTGGGATAGCTCTGTAGACGTGGGTCTGATTGGGCATCATGGGGCCCCTCACCTGTCTTGGCAGCTCCTGGAGTAAACACTCACACCCCCTTGTGCTCCCTTCCACAGTGCCGATTCTGGCTCACCGTGACTCTACAGTGTAGACAGGGTAGAACTGCCCCTGTGGGTTTCCCATACTGTAATTCGTGATAGGAGTACAAAGCCTCGTCTTTCTTCCCAGGAGCTGCTGGTGGTTTTGAACTGTTGACTTGTGGTTAGCAGCCCAACTTGTGATCACTAAGCCAGTGGGGCTCCCGCTAGACCTGGTTAAGGTCTTACCTCGGGAGTGTGGTAGGAGGGAACGCTGGGCATTTGAGAAAATCTTGGTAGGGAAAGACAGCTTTTTTTTTTGGCCAAAAGTCCCCCAATCCTCCACTCAGACCTAGGGTCAAATCCAAGGTTGGCCAACTTAATGGCTTGGTGTGATGTTTAACAGCTCCTGAGCAGTGGTTCTCAACCTTCCTAATGCTAACACAACCCTTTAATACCATTGTGGTGAACCCTCAACCATACATTTATTTTCGTTGCTACTTCATAACGGTATTTTGCTACTGTGATGAATTGGGTGACCGCTGTGAAAGGGTTGTTCGACCCCAAAAGGGGTTGAGATCCACAGGTTGAGAACCGCTGTTCCTGAGCCTCAGCGTCTTTTCTGCTAAAGGAATAGTAACAAGCAAAAAGGGCAGCTTCCCTTAACGACGGGTATCTCTCCACTTAAGGGACCAATTGGGTACTCCCTGGGTGAGAGAGAGGCCGGTGTTGGATGAGGTGCCCGGATGCAGTGGCTAGGGAGTAATTAGCTCTTTGTGCCCCCGGACCGCCCTGAGCCCCCTGTAGGAGACTGCCCACTGGGCCTTTCCCCAGTCTACTGGAACATCCACTCATGAACAACCCCGCATCTTTTCCTGTGCAGCCTTAACTCCGCCCCGACGCCAGCGTGCAGCAGCGCCAGCCACCTGAAGTCCACGCCGGCTGCCACACCCTGCACTCCCCGGCGCCTGAGCCTGGCGGAGTCCTTCACCAACACGCGCGAGTCCACCACCACCATGAGCACGTCACTGGGGCTGGTGTGGCTGCTGAAGGAGCGGGGCATCTCGGCGGCCGTGTACGACCCCCAGAGCTGGGACCGGGCCGGTCGGGGCTCCCTGCTACACTCATACGCCCCCAGGATGGCCGTGATCCCCTCCACCCCGCCCAACTCGCCTATGCAGACGCCCACGTCTTCCCCGCCCCCCTTCGATTTCAAGTGCACAAGCCCGCCTTACGACAACTTCCTGGCCTCCAAACCGGCCAGCTCCATCCTGCGGGAGGTGAGGGAGAAGAAGAGCGTGCGCAGCAGCGAGAGCCAGACCGACGTGTCCGTCTCCAACCTCAACCTCGTGGACAAGGTCAAAAGGCTCGGCGTGGCCAAAGTGGTGAGCTCGGGGCGCGCCCACGTCCCCACCTTGACTGAAGAGCCCGGGCCTCTGCTCTGCGGAGCCCCGGGGCCGGCGCACACCATGGTGTCTGGAGGCCTGGTGGCCGAGGGCCTGCCCCTCCGCTGCCCCACCGTCACCAGCACCATTGGGGGCCTGCAGCTGAGCAGCGGCATCCGCAGGAACCGTAGCTTCCCCACCATGGTGGGGTCCAGCATGCAGATGAAGGTTCCCGTGGCTCCCACCTCAGGCATCTTGATGGGTGCTAAGCTCCCCAAACAGAGCAGCTTGCGGTGAAGGCGGAAGGGGGTGCCCGCCTAGAAGAGACTCTGGTCCGGATCGCCCACCTCCCTCTGACCTTCAAGCCGTGCACACTCCCCACGCCCACGAGACAAATCAATCTTGTGCCTACGCGGGGAAGCCCTGTGCACCTGGTCAGCGTGTGCTCAAGGACCGGGAAGGCCCCCCGTGCAGGCCTGAGCCCTCCGGGTCTCGTGGGCCTCTCCTCGCTCCGGAGGACATCACCTGTGCCCACCTGTGGGAAGGTGGGCACCCTTTTTGCCCTTCTTTCCTTTCGAGAAGCACTGGAACCACCCGAGTGCATTCTTATCCCGTGGATGAGACCGGTGGGTTCCCTGGACCGCCCCGGCCGAGGTTGCGCGCGCACATCACCTGGACGCTGACTGCGGTATCTCGCGGGTGGACCCCCAGCCGCTTCAGAGACCCCGGCCGGTGGCGGACCTCCCTTTTGTTTCTCGAGGTGTGACCATCCCCCTTCCTGCCTTTGACTTGAAATCCTGTGCTTTGTAATCAGCCGTCAGGCCACGAGCCGAAAGAGAATGTATTTCCACGCCCACCGCTCCCGTCCGGCAGTCCCACCCTCCTTTTCTGTGCTGTCCTGTTTTTATTTGCCCCCCCCTCCTTTTTTTTTTTTTTTTTTTAATCATGGGAGTTATGGTGCTGGCTGGAGGCGGCAGTGACTGCTCACTGTGTGGGTCCGCAGCGTCGACGTGGCCTGGACTCCGCAGGTGGCAGGGGTTGGTGGGGCGGGACGATGGCCAGAGACCCTTATCAGCAGGGCCACGGCACCGAGACCCGTTTGGGGAGGAGGTCAGGCTTGGGGCCTCGGCCAGCCCCTGCCCTTAGTCTCAGAGGCCAGTCCAGTCCAGTCGCCTTGGCTAGCGGAGTCTATGCCCGCAGGTGCGTGTGGTCACAGCGAGGCTAGCCGCCTCCCCCTCGTGCCCGGCCTATTGTTACCCTCTGCAAAGGATTGAGGTGCCCAGAAAACCAATTAGATAGCCTGGCCCCACGGCTGCCGACCCACGCTGTGAGCTTTTATTTATGTGGTGCGTGTGTGCGCGCGCGCGCGCGTGCATATGTACATGTGCTCGCGCATGTGTGTGAATCTGACCCCTGCCTCCCCCCCCACCCCCACCCGGTCCAGCCCGTCCAGCCACGTTGTCCGTGGCATAGCCTGCCCCACGCTGATCATGTATTTATTGTCCTCAGAGGACTACATTGTCCGCCCTGGTGTTTCCTGTCATTTGTCCCAGACATGTGTGGAATGAGAACAGCATATAACTGAAATGGTCACCTGTCCCTCCCACTTCTCCCCCTCCCCAGTGTATGTATCCTCCAGTTGAGTGGGCAGAACCCTGTGACCACCGAGGAAGGAGGCTTTGAGGGGAGCCCCCCAGGAGCGAGCTTCAGTCCCACGATTTCAGACTTTTATTTATTGTCCGCGTGTGCGCACAGGAGAGTGGGTTTTCCTCCACCACACTTGCCGTTGTGCGTGTGCGCACCCCACTGCAAGTAACTTAACCTTTTCATTTGAATGTATTTTAAAGCAGTAGATAGACTCAACACAGGGGAACAAGAGCCCTGGATGGAACGGAGCCCTCTGGGAATTCAGAAAGGAGCCCCCCACCCCCAATCACCCAGGAAGTACCAGTATCCAAACCGACAGTCTGGAGGTTGCAGTATTTAGTCTAGTAAATAAATAAATGAAGCAAACCATGTGCAACCACTTCCCACAAGTGTGTTGAAATGCATCAAAAATCAATGATGAAATTCTATTTGCTAATGAATATCAATAAAATAGGTTCAAACAATGGAGCCACGCTGGAATTCTGAGTGGTGCTTTAGGGTAATTCCTCCTCACCCCCCCCCC